AATCATACTTTTAATCTTTTATTTTTAAAAAATCTGCACCAAACCTAAGATCACCTAGATTTTCTTCCATTTTCTTTCTGTGTTTTATAGGTTTTTGTCTTACATTTAGGGTGATGATCCTTTTTGAACTAATTTTCATAAAAGTAAGTTCTGAATCTAAATTCTTTGTTTTCCCCGTGTGTGGATGTCTAGTTGTTCCAGTGTAAGTTGTTAAAAAGACTGTCCTTTCTCCGTTGTTTGGCTTTGCGCCTTTGTCCCAGATCAGCTAACTGTATTGTTTGGGTCACTTTCTAGGCTGTCTTTTCTGGTCACCAATCTTCATGTATTTTGTTTCACCAGTGTCTTCAAAGTCAGTTTCACTCTTCACACTGCCTTGATGATTGTGGCTTTGAAATCTGTTTAGAAGTTGGTAGTGCCAGTTCTGACTTTATTTTCCTATCATCTTGTGTTATTTTATGACATAGTTTTGATCAGTAAATTTTTCTAACAAAAATTATTTCATTGGGTAAACAATATTAACAGTAAGACTAATACTAATATTTATTAAACACCTACCGTATACCTGTCATGGCTTCTCTCATTTGACCCATTGTTTTGTCTGTCTGTCATCTCTGTCTACCTGTCTGCCTGTCTCTTCGGTTGTTGACACTCAAGCTCAGTATCTTGCCCAAGGACATACACTGTCACATATGTTAAGTAAAAGTGCTCAGATGGGGCCTCCGTCTCTGTGATCTTAGCGAGCACTCTACTATCTCCCGTCCTTTCAGAAATGCATGCAGCTATATGAAAAACAAGTGTGTGTGTGTGTGTGTGTGTGTGTGTGTATTTATATCAGACTCCAGATGGGTAGAGAAAGAAATACATGTGATCTTGATCACAGCCAAGATTTTGGTTTCAAATTACTTTAGGGCTGGAGGAAAAACAGACAACAAAGCTTGATTCCTCCCACGTTGACTGCCAGGTGTTAATCCGCCTGCCAGCGCCTTCACAGTTTCTCTCACTGTCTTTGTGTCTCTTCTGTTTATCACTGGGCGAATAGCATTTCCTAAATGGTGAGGAAATTAACGCAGTAATGCAAACTTATAATATCCTATGATTGCCCGTTCCTCTTGCTAAATGCCACTGTTTATGCTTCCTGCTTCTCATTCCTGGACTCAGATGAGAATCGACACATCTCTGGTGAACCATGCCTTGTGTTGCCTCCAAAGATAATTAAGTGCGCCTTTGGGTTTAAGGATTTCACTGTAATATGTGGAAAAAAAAGTAGGGGCTGCATGAGGGAGTTCCACAGCACAGGAGCTCTTGCAGTTCTGGAATTGGCTCTGTGTGAATTTCAAAGCGTTTTCATTTCTATCTTTTGGTGAGGTTTGTTTCCCAGGCTGTTCTAGAACAGCTCCTTTTCTCAGCAAAAGATGCAGTTCAGGCAGAGTAAAATCCCTCTCTCTAAGGGAATATTTGTGCTTCTAGAGACCTCTTGTCTGGGGAGCGGGCATGTGGTGTAGTGGTTAAGCCTGGTCTGATGCCTGGCCCTGGCTTGGACTCCAGGGTCGTGCTCCTGTGGACCCTCTGGGGCAGTAGTGACAGCTGAAGTAATTGGGTTCCTGCCCCTTTGTGGGAGACTTGGATTGAGTTCCTAGCTCCTGGTCTTGGCCAAGTCCTGGCAAAGTGCTGGCTGTTGCAGGGATTTTTGGGAGTGAATCAGTGGATAGGAGCTCCATGTGCATCTGTCTGTCTCTCTCTCTGTTTCAAATAAATAAATTTTTAAAAATAGACTTCATATCTGAAGACATCAGTTTACTAGACATCTGTCCTATCCAGAAGTGAGCCCTCTGGCTTCCCTCACAATAAGACATCAGGTTCCAGTATCTCATCCCACATTATGATAAGAGCGACTATTTGCTTGATGCCTACTATATGCCAACCATTGCACAGGGCACTTTCTAAGCATAATCTTCGGAGTAACCTTATGAGACAAGTATAAGTGTATCCACTTTATAGATAACAAAAACTAAAGGTCAGAGATTCTAATTTATAGAAGGCTGGAAAAGGGCAAATTGTTTTCTAACCCTGAGTGGCCTGACTCCATCACTTGGCTAAATTTTGGTCTTTCTCTCCAAACTCCCTTCTTATTACATCATGTTCTGCCTTCTGAATATAAAATTGACTTTAACAAGCCGTAGTTGCTAGATTAATGGAGCAACATCCTGTGGTTCAATTCTGCTTGTGACTAACAATACGTATTTGAGAACTAGCTTATTTTAGTGACTGATACAGGAAACAGACTGAACCTAATTAGGTTTTATGAAACCAGAGATTTGAAGCTTTGACTTCAGGGACGACAAAATTTAAATGAGTGAACTAAGAAATCAGACTGCTGTTTAGACATTTAATAACTTACTTTTCTTAACTTAGTGATTTGAAAGATGAGTTGGTTACTCTCATTTCACTCCTCTTTGGAATTCTAAATAGCTTGAAAGATTTATACAGCTTCCAAATTGACTTCATTAAAACCAGGGAATAGTGGGTGTTTTGGGAGAATTGAACACCTTCTGCCTAATTGTGTTTCATGTTTGTAAAATTATTAGATTGGTACAGAATTCTTTGAATACTAGGCCTAGAGCAAACATGACTCTAACCCTTTTCATAGTGAGCATGCCAAAAGTGTTTTATCTGTCAAATTTGACTGTAAATCCATGAAGGAATGTGTCCCCACTGTATAAGTAGTAGATGACACTTATTTAGATCTTACTCTACAGTTGTTCTTTGAATAAAAGAGGAGTTGCTAGTTTAATATTGTATTGTAAAGTTTTAGTGTTTGCTTTTTTTTTTTTTTTTTAATAAAGCAATTGCCTTTCCTCTTAAACTTCCTCTTTCCCCATTGGCCTAAGAATGCTTGTTCACGAACTAAGAAGCCCATCTAGAGGGATCACAGCTGCATGTTAAAAATTTGCGCATGTATTAATTTAAGATACCTTCGGGAGCACCGTTCTCCTGCCTGCAATTCAGAATCTCATTCAAGTTTATTCTCAGACTCCAGTCTAACATCTTGTGTACTGCTTCTTTGGGATGCAAGTATGTCCAAGGCTATGTCCTCGGTTTTCCATCTCCTGAGCCTTCACATGTATTCTTCATGTAAGAGAACAAAAAATGCTGCCAACTCAAAGAAAACTTAACAGGTGATGCCTACCACATCTTGCAACAGAGACAGGCAGTTCTCTGGAGGCTAATGTTTTTTAATGACAAGTTTTATTTGAAAGTCAGAGTTACAGAGAGGGGGGAGGGGAAGAGAGAGAGAGAGAGAGAGAGAGAGAGAATGGGTCTTCTATCTACTGGTTCACTCCCCAGATAGTCACAATGGCCAGGGCTGGGCCAGGCTGAAGCCGGAAGCCAGGAGGTTCTTCTAGGTCTCCCACATGGGTGGCAGGGATCCAGGCAGGCATTTGGGCCATCCTCTGCTGCATTTCGAAGCTGTTAACAAGGAGCTGGATCAGAAGTGGAGCAGCCGAGTCAACTGCCATCCATATAGGATGCCGAGTCTTAAGAGGCGGCTTTACCTGCTATCCCACAAGGCCAGCCATACAAGGTTACTTTTATAAATACATTCATTTTCTGTTTGTACCATCTGTGTTATGCAACTTACAATTTTTGGTTCTATCTGAAACTGAGATGCTGTGTTATATTCATGCATCCGTGCCTTTGGTGTTGTCAAGACCACAATTATTTTGGCAAGGCTAGAGAAATATATCTAAGCATTTCATTTCTTTCTGAGCTAAATTTGGAGGCAGAGAGGGGCAAGAATCTGCAGGTTGTAAAATGTCAAAGTTACTTGTTTCTCTTCTGATTTTCAATAACCAGACCTACTCCAAGCATAGTTTACAAAGGTTCTAAAGTTTCTTGGACTATCATTGTCAAAAATCACATCTATACAAGAAAAATGAACTTTAAGTAGGTCGCCTAAAAATTCTTGAGCGTTAGAGTCATTAATCAGACCAGTATTTCCCAACTTTCACTCATCTGAGTTCTGCTCTTATGATTTTCTCGTATGTACTTATTATCTGCAGATGATTTGTTTTTAGTTTCATTGAACTGGCTCAGTACACCTAAATACCTAACTTAGCTCCAACTAAAGCAATAATATCCATGAATCAGAACTTGGTGCGGTGCTAATTGTTTGTATGCCTAATAAATGTTAAATACATAGTTATTGAACCATTAAAGTTTCTGAGTCAACTAAGATCATTCCTCATCACTCCTCATCTGCATAGTACATCTTGAGAAGCCCTGGATCAGTGAACACATTGGGATCTACCTGAGGATATTTTTGATAGGAAAGCACTAGAAATTTTTGGACACCTTGGCTGTAGGCCATAAAGTAAAGAAAGCAGTAGAATCTGGATGTCTCTGTTTCCTTCTAGTGACCACAACCCAGAAGGTCTTAATGTTATCAGAAATATGATATCTTAAGGTACAGACAGTAGGAGAAGAGCAATAACAAGGCCTCCCCAAGTCTGCCTTTGCCCTCTGAGAGATGCAGGTGTGTTATTCTCTAACGCAGGGGAGGTGTTTCACTCTGGCTGCACAAGGAGCTGTGAGAGCTGTGAAATTTCCAAGCCTCTGTTACTGTGACTGCTCCTTTGAGTTTTATCTTTGCCATGCTGACCTCCAAATCGCAGTTTTGTTGTGAAGCGTTTGATGGTTGTCCCGCAGATGACCAAAGAGAGCAGCAGGTGATACTAGCCGTGTGTGCAGAATGCTTATGTGTAGAGCTGTCGTCACAGTGGGACAGGGGAGAGCAAATTCTAATGCTAGGTTCTCTTCATGGTAGGAAAAGGAAAATTGATCAGTAGCATTCCTTCTAGACACATGGGGAAATTTATTGCTTATCCAATGATGCTGACCGGTGTGTTGCGACTTATGAAGCAGGCTGTACGGAGAGGGTAGGGGTGCTGCTGGAAAATGGAGCTTCCCTGGGTAATTCCCAATCCTGTGCCCTTTCTCAGGTCCCTGAGCAAAATGGGAAATGGTTCAGTGAAACCCAAGCATTCCAAGCATCCAGATGGCCACTCGGGGAACCTCACCACGGATGCCCTGCGGAACAAGGTGGCAGAGCTGGAGAGGGAGCTGAGGAGGAGGGATGCTGAGATCCAGGAGCGGGAGTACCACTTGAAGGAGCTGCGAGAGCAGCTGTCCAAGCAGACTGTGGCCATCGCCGAGCTCACGGAGGAGCTGCAGAATAAGTGCATCCAGCTGAACAAGCTTCAGGACGTGGTGCACGTGCAGGGAGGAAGCCTGCCTCAGGCCTCTCCAGATAAGGTGCTTCTTGAGGTGCACCGGAAGACCTCGGGGTTGGTCTCCCTGCATAGCAGGAGGGGAGCAAAGGCTGGAGTGTCTGCCGAGCCAACAACCCGAACCTATGACCTCAACAAACCCCCCGAGTTTTCCTTTGAGAAAGCAAGAGTCAGAAAGGACTCCAGGTAAGAGGTTGCTGCAGTTGCTGTGCCCCTTTGCCTCGTGAAAGTGAAAGTCTGGAGTGGGCTCCTTAGGAAGCCTCCTGAATGGTAACGGGCTTATTCACCCTTTCATGTTTAGGGATGGAAGGGTTTTTTCAAATGGTTTTGTTGTGCAAAAGGGTCTCCCATGAAGCAGTGCTTTTCTTTAAAGCATGACTTGCACTTTACCTGGACTTTGAAGATATGTGTATCTGTCTCTCGCCGAGAAATTGAGTTTACTGAAAGTCATTTCATTCTCTTGAAAACCCTAGGGGGAATGAAGAGGTAGGTTTAGGAAGTCTAAACTTCTCTATCTAGTAGGGTGGAGTTAAAAATGTACAGAAATCTGAGAAGGTGTTCAGTGCAGCTGTTAAGACATCCCTTGGGAGGTTCACATCCCACATTAGAGTGGGTTCAAGTCCCTCTTCTGCACTTGATTCCAGCTTCCTGCTAATGTGTATCCTGGGGGGCAGCAGGTGATGGCTCAAGTAATTGAGGCCCTGCAAGCCACACAAAGGAGACTTGGTTTGAGTTCCAGGCTCCTGGCTCTGGCCTGGTGTGGCCCTCACTGAGTCAGGGTCCCTTTTCTGTGTGCTTTTCATTTTGTTCTGAAAAAGTAATTAATTATTCATTTGAGAGGCAGAGAGAGAATGAGAGAGCGAATGTGGTCCCCTTTGCTGGTTCACTCCTGAAATGCCTGCATAGTGGTCTGGGGCTGCTGGGTAAAGTTAGGAGCCAGGAACTCAATTCAGGTTTCCCAGGGGGGTGGCATGGACCCAAGTACTTGAATCATTACTTGCTGCCTCCCAGGCTGTGCCTTCGTAGGAAGCTGGAATCTGAGTCTGAGCAGGGAGTCTAGCCCAGACACTTGGATATGGGGTGCAAGCATCCCAACTGGCATTGTCACTGTTATGCCTTATGTCCACCCCTTATGTTCAATTATTAATTGAAATCATGTCTTTCACAATGATAATATCTTGGCTGAGCCTGGATCTCTGATGCAAAATGCACAAACTGTGAAATTAAATCAAATTTTAATTTATTCACAGATAAAAGTAATATAAATCAAGATAGAACATCTGACTTAAACAAATGATTACTTTGACAACAAAATTATAAAAGGACGTTTAATTCATCAATTTGCTGACAGTGCTTGGCAAATAGTGAGTGATCAATAAATATTTGTTAAAGAAGCTAGTCATGCTGGATTATTAATCATGATAATCTGTGACTAAAAGAGCTCTAATTAATATTAGATTTCAGGAGAATTCTATTAAGCCAGAATTTTGTTATTAATTGGCTTAAAAAGGTTTTATCTCTTTCTTTTTCAATAGTAATAATCACTTATTTTTAATTGTATGAATTCAGAAATCATAAATGTCACAAACTTATGCTTGTTTTTCAGAAATTGAACATCATCCAGGGTTCTCTTTTGATAGATCAGAGATATATCAGTGCGTAGTACTGTTATATACTGTGCATTATATTGCATAAATAGGTTTATATAACATCTAAAATACTTTTCAAATAGCAGTGTGTTTTTATATGTAGGACAGCATGTAAGAGAATTTAATAGCAATCCATCTTCTTTGACTTCTCCCTACACATGCCTCCAGAATTCTGCTCTTGAACCAAGATTATGTCATTGCTTTGTTCAAAGACTTAATGTTCATCCTGAGGCAAAACACCATTCTTTCAGTGTTGAGCAATCTAAGATAAGCATATTCCTATGAATTTCTTTATTAGCTATTGTAACCAGGCAAAGAAAATCAGTAGGTTTGCACAATTTCTGGACCAAACCCACACAGTGAGTAGAATTCAGGAAAGACAGTCTGTCCCCTGAATTAGGATCACCAGTGATTCCCCTCATCATACAGGAAACACAGATGGGTGCCCGTCTGGGTGAAGGTCAGGTTGAAGAAAGGGGCTCGTTCATTTCTTAATGATTGGTGCTAAGGAGACCAAAGTAGATTACCCATGCCCATATGCTCAGCTTCTTTCAGAGGGCCTTGTGGTTCTAAATTGAAAAATTAATAACATATGGAAACAACTCTTTTTCCATTAATTGGATTGTGCCTCAATTTCCCTTGCAAAAAATACAAACATATCTCTCCCTGAGTCCTAAATCACTAACTACACACAGACAGCTAATTCAGAGACAATTTTCTGAATTTTTTCATAAATGCTCAATATTACAGTTCATTTTCCATTTCAAAAGTTATCACTTTAGAGAAAAGCCAAAATAATATTTGCATATTTTTGTATTTCTTTTCTACAATTTATCCAACATCTTAGGAAAAATAATTTTCTGGAAGATAGAGCCTTAAAAAAGATAGGTGTATCCTTCATGATAAAAGGATGGTGTGACTTGGCTGGTTGGTTTGTTTTTCTTTCCTAAGAAGTTCCTGCTCAGTATTAGAGAATTTTAGATCATCAGTTAAAATAGCTCCTCTGTTTATTTCTTGGACTCTTAGTTCTCTTAGTTTATTTCTTGGACTTTTACAAAGTTTCACAACAGCATTTATGACCAAATTTGTTCCTACCAACATGTTTCAACTACATCTTGGATTTGAAGTTCCTCCTCCACATTGGATCGGAAAGGCATTAAATGGCTTTTCTGTCTTTGTCAAAAAGAATGTCTTTTGACTACTTATCAGTGAGGAAGAAACTGAAGGCAGACTCTCCTGGTGACAAACTATAGTCAAGAGACAGGAAGCACTGATGGAACCAGAGAATAAACTTGATGGGAAGATAGATTTGGAACTTGAGAATTCGGTTTCAGTAATCCACGAGAGACTGTATATCTTGACCTATTAGTCTGCGATTCCGCCGAGGCCCTTGTTGCAGATGAATTGTGAATGGTACAGGGGCCTCATCACTCTTGAGGCTTCCCAGTTCATGCCAGCTTTGTTGTCCTGTACCCACCAAGTGTACTGTTAAGGTCTGAAAGGGGTTACAAAAACTGTGTAGTTACATTTCCCTGCTTTAAATGGGGGGACTTGTAATAGCCCTATGATGGGATTGGGGAATTCTGTCTCTTGCAATTTGCAGTTGACATCTATCTCTTGAAAAAAATCAGGGGTGTGCTGCTTGAGATCAGTCTCTGGAATAAGTTAGCACAGTCCAGTGGAACCTTTTTGCAGTAATGTCCAATATGGTAGCCAAAAGCTGTGCATGGCTATTGAGCACTTGACTCCTGGCTAATGCCAGTAAGGACACTGGACTTTGAATTTTAAATAATTTTAAGGGTATTGGATAATAGAGTTCTAGACTGCATGGTTTTGCCTGTAGCAGTGCTTACCTGAGATGGAAATTATGACAGAGTGGTTTGGGGACACATCTTAGACAAAGTTCAGTTTTAGAACAAAGCCATAGAAAATGAAAATGTGCCTGTCAGACAGAGGTAGGCAAAGTGTGGAATTGCTGTTGAGCCACACCAGCCTGTCCACTGTGACTTGGCATTGTGCCTGCTGACTGTTTTAGATCTTCAAAAGCCTGCAGCTCTGTGGGCACGTGGCCTGTTTCTATTACAAGCACTCAGCTGTATTGAAGTACTATAAACCACATGATGAGACAGACTATTACAATATATCAAACACTGTGATCTGTGATTTAAATTTAATATGGTGAACATCAGAAGACTTTTGACTTAAAAAGAAACTTAGAGCTAGTTTCATGCTAACCCCTTCTCTGAAGAAGTGAGTGAACAGGTGCAGGAGAATTACAGATGGGCATGGTAGATGGCAGAGCTTAGATTGGAATTCAAGACTCTTGGCTCTGAGGCCAGGTCTTTCTGCCTTCTGTCCTGCTCCAGTGTTGTCAGATCTACCCACAGAGATGAAAGCCCTCCAGCCAGACCAGTCTGGGCACCTGTCTGCCTTGTGATGACTTGTCCCAGTGATTGGCAGTAAGATCAGTTGGTGTTTCCTGGTGCCTCCTGGCTTCCTCCATACAGAGTTGACCATTACAAGGGGAGCCTGCCCATTGCACCAGCATTTACCAAGGATTAGATCCTCAGAGGGTAGGCCCTGTGAGAAAAGGACATGGAGAAAGGGCTTGATCCATCTCATGGCACAAACTGGGATATCTGAAAGGTCAAATATGGATTTCCAAGTCCTGGAAATCAGAGGCAAAGAGCAGGGAAGAACTCAGATAGCATTTCTGTCCCTGTCTGACCTGCCTTGGGCTCCAAGATGATCACGCACCCACAGGTCAGACCTCTTAGTGAAATTAAGTTTGCTGTTTATGTAGACATTGTTTCGCAAACTTAAGCGCTGGCAGAGCAACGGTATGGCTCATGCTGAACGTCTGGTGGAACATAGGCAGATTAATCAGAGACATCTGGCTTTCAGGAAGAATGGGTAGACTATCATTTGGAACTATTGTTCTCTCATGAAAGGGAAGATAGAACAAAGGCCTGCCATCTGACTTGAGATGCGAACTCCAGTTTTAGGAAGGACGAATGCTTTTGTTTGTCACTGCCAGCCCAGGAGCAGAATAGGTAAAAGTGCAAAAGGCTGGTGAGTCATACGTTGAAATAAGATGTGGGAAAGGCGCAAGAAAGAGCACGTTTGTTGTTATTTGTGCTTTTCTAAAGCAGTGTGGAGCACTTGAGTGTGCATTACAGAATTGTCTCTCCTTTATTGAACAGGAATGTTTCTGTGAAAAGGTTTGCCTATCACTAATTGTATGTGGCCACCACTCTGAATGCTTCTCAAATACTGAGTCATTGAATCCTCACAACAGACTTAGAACATAGGTAGTGTTATTATCACCCTCATTTCATATATGGGAAAACTGAGGCATGCAGAACTCTGTAACTTGCCTGAGGCTGGAACCAAGATTCACAAACAGAAATCCTGCTGTCTGGGGCCTGGTCTGATCACCCTGCATGTGATTATCCCAGGATAAAAACATGTTTTGAAATTTGTATTTGTTGTTTGTGTATCTGTCATTTTAGAAGCATGGGGCGATGGGGCAGAGAG